TTCACACCTCTTGTACTATCGGTGTGGCAGTGTTGAGAATTTGAGCAGAACCCTGGGGTTGCGATATCCCCGTACTTACTGCTGTTTTTCCAAAGACTGGAAAAGGTAAACAAACGGCTCGGAAAATTGAAGTTAACATGGATTTTATAAGAAAAAATACAAGTTATTACCCGACGGAAGGCTAGTTTGAGGTTGGGTAAGTATGGATTTCGGTGTGGTCTGTAGGGTTCCAACACTGCCGCTCCCAGCTGATGCAGTTGGCTGAGCAGAAAAGATGCTCGACGGCGTCGCCGCCGTACTATGGCTTGAGGAACTTGGTGCTGCTGATTGCGCTCCTCCAAGTGAACTTCCTAATGGTGTGCTCGCCGCAAGGATAGTTGGAGATGCTTTCTGCTCTCCCATTTTGGCAAATAATCCAGCTATAGGTGTGGATGACTGTAAGAGTGGAGAATGTGCAGCTGGAGCAGGTGCTGGAGATGGATTTGATTGGATAACTGAAGTCGTGGCTGGACGAAGACCCAAATGGATTATGCCGGGATCCACTGCTACAAGTGATCTAAATTGACAATTGAAGTCTTTTTCGATGAAAAAAAAATGCAACTGAAATGAGCTTCCGCGTATCAAATCAAGATTCCTTACACATTGCACTCAGGATAATCTTTCGATGGTGGTGACAGTTGATACGAACGAATAGAACCATCACTACTTAGTGTTACCAAAACAGGAAGGCGACGTGCGACTCCATCTATTAAATAATAGGAAAGAACTTCATCAAATGGCAGATAGGCAAGAAAGCAAGTATTACCAACTGTTACTGGAGTTTGCTTAGATAGATCCACTGCAATACCAAAGATATAATTGGTAGGAGACGGCTGAGGTAATGATGCTAGAGGTATGGTAGACCATGTCTGAAAAAAAGAATGCTGGTCAAGTGAGATTTTACACTTACACTCTGAGCGATATGGACTCACGGTAGCGTTTGGAGGTTTGCAAATAGCCAGCAAGTGGCCAGTTCCTGGTAATATGACAATAACGACATGCCAGTCCACCAAAAGCCGTCTTGTTTCTCCAAAGAAAAGTTGACCAGAAAGGTTTATGGGTGTCCAGGAGGGCGGTTTGTCCTTGATAAAAAATTAAACCATTCTGAATCACTCCTTCTTTAGATAATGAGCTTTTCTTACCACAAAACTAAACGCATAGGAACAAATACTTTTTTTTTGGAAATTTTGAGAAAAGCAATTGTATAGTTATCTGTTCACTTATTACTTATGCTAATGACCAACACAGATAAGCTTAAAGATAAAGAGAGTGGTGATTGATCATATAAAAGAGAAGATGGAATACTTTTATTCTCTAAAGATACTTGTTTGTAGATGTTGGCGATGGACACTACAATACTTTGCTAGTATGTATGGGACAGGGCAAAGATGATTCTTCCGCCTCCTTCTCTTTCACTTTGGGACAAGAGGAAGCCTGACACCCTCTACCTGAGCCAAGTATAGAGGCAGTTATTCGTTTGCGGGAATAATGTAGTATTTTACTCGCAGCTTCTCCGCCGGATCATGGACAGAG